GGTAATCTCTTCCCTTTTAATGAAATGAGGGGAAATCTTTACCCCTATTTTAGGCCCACACTCTAAGTACACTAAAGGATGTAGACCCTTATTAAAGTGTCGATTGCATACTAAAGTTTCATACGATAAATGTAAAAAAATAATAAAAAGTAACAATTGAAATGGCTAAATAATATTTTAGCTTCGCATTAAATAATAAAACCTAGAAATCCTTTATTTACCACTTACAGATAAAGGCGGTGCAGCAGCTATTATTAATGGGATTGCTACAAATTTATTGGCTATAATAAATAACAAAAACATGCAGGTAATCAAATTAAAAATTAAAAACAATTTAAAGCAATCAAACTATTAGTAAAATATCTCATATAATACAATATACAATCATATTAAAGAATACTAAATTTTTTCTAAATTGGTTTTTAAGATGAAGGCAAATTAGAAGATAAAACCTGCAGTATATTATAAGCTGTGACACTAAAATTAAAATAACAAACAAAATATTGTTATTAAATTTTAAATACCTAGTACAAAAAAATTTGTTGAATAAGAAAGTAAAAAAAAAGCAAATTCTAAAAAATTCTTGAAATTTATTTATTGAAAAAAAGTTTTTTAAGAAGTAAATTTCAAAGATTCTTTAAAAGTAAATTGAACTTTATAAAATCTAACCTAAATATTGCTACCAGAAAATACCACTGTACTGTAAAATCTAACCTAAATATTGCTACTAGACAATACCACTGTACTAAATAAATAGACTCATATATAACGCGATTGAATATCTAACATAAAATTATTCAAAACCAATTAAAATAAAAAACAACTTGCTTACATTTATAATAAGGTCATCTTTAGATACTATAAAACTACCAGCCTGTCAAGGCAGAATTTCAACAAATCACCTTTAACACAGAACATGGATGGATAAGTAAAACATTAAAAAATTAAACTTTAAAAACAGATTAAAAAGTTAAAAAATGCATACTGTTTATAAATCAAAAATAATTATATTGTTTATGATAATGGTAATAGAAGATTCAAAGATATTTCAGAAATTTAATTTAAAAAAGGAAGTGCGAAAAAACTAACAGTTTGTACATCTACAATGCCTCGTGCATTATTAGTTAAAGGCGTCCAAGTTGGCTCTACCAATATTTCAGTTCAGAATGTTTAACGGGGGCGTGGTAAAATAGCTGTAAAACTTTAAATTTCTTAATTACCTTAATTTTATGTATTTTCAATTTTTTATTATTTTCAAAAATTATAAATGTAATAAATAGATTTATTTTAAATATAAATTTAGAATATTTAATTATGTTTTTAATAAAAACATTCTTTTTAGACTTCTTACTGTTTCAAAAAATTAAATGTTGCGCATGGCAAGTTCAAATAATCTGCTTGCTTTTTTTTTATATTTGTTATTTAAAATGCAAAACAAAGCAATTTTCTTTCGAAACAAATTTTTTTCTTCAAAAGCGTTTTACTTTGTATTTTAGAAAAATCGAGAAAGATTAAATTAAAAAAAAAAAAAGCTGATGGTAGAAATCTAACCTGGACCTCCTACCTTAGAGCCTTGCGTGCTAACCACTTGGCTACGCCGACTCATTGATTATGGAAAATTTTAAAACTATATAAAGTAATAAAAACTTTACTAAACAGAATTAAGTGTTACAGATCAAATCTTAATGACATGAAAGGCAATGCAATTTTCAAGTGAAAGTAAAACTAAAAAGCTTGATATATGTTTTAGTATGTTTTTAACATTACATAATTTGAAGAAATTTAGACATTTGCATAAATTATATATTAGCATACACTTTCGATATTTTTTTTATTTAAAAAGTGCTACTACTCTTTCTCGTTATTACCTCGGTTGCAATGGTTGCCGAGATTTCATGTCAAACACTCTCCAATGAGCATTGACATGTTCGCTATTATTTAATATGATATATATATTTATATAATAAATGTATATATAATATATATGATATATGATATATATATATATATATATATATATATATATATATATATATATATATATATATATATATATATATATATATATTATATAGAATAAAACAGGGTTAAATAAAATAGCAGGTAGAATGAAATAGTCATGCAACTTTATTTTTTCGCTCTTAATTAAATATTGAATATTTTTTTTGCAATTATTTTTTTATTATATTGTATAGAATATTTTTTTATTTATATTGTAGAGAATATTTTACTGAGTAGGATTGTATAAAATTTTATTTTTAATAAAAAAATTTTTGTTATAAATTTATTAATTAAGTTTTCAAATGCATAATAAGATTTTTTTTATTTGTTTGAAAAGGGAACTTAAAACTCTCGGAAATTAAATTTGTTATCATTGAATTTAAAATGTTTACTGGTACAACTTTTTACGCTGATCAAGAATCTTTTTTCAAAATTAAATTTGCTATTTCAGAAAAAAATTATGAGTTAAAAAAAGGAAACGGAGTGTTGTGGGGTTGAATGAAATACGCTAATAAATAAATAAATATGAAGCAATAGCTTATTTCTTAAAAGCGGCTTTTTTTTATTTGGTCTCAAGTGTCTGATAAATCTCCAACTATAAATTTTTTGTATAAATTTTAATGAACAAATTTTTAAACTGAATTTAAATAACCTTTACTTACTATATGAAATACACTAGTTACTCTCTTGTTAATTGTGGTCACCTTGTCTGCAAACAACCTTCAATATTGTAGTAACTCCGGCTATTCAAAAGGAAATTCAAAAAGAGGTTAGAAAACAACTGCAATCAGCCCAATCACTTGCTGCAGCTTTGCAACAAATGTTTCGTATCCAACACGTTGACACAAAAAAAAGAAAAATGTAGATGTGCCAAGATTCAAAGGGGAGTGTCTGAACAAACCTGAAATACTTGAAAGGTTGAAAGATGCTGAGAGTAAAAAACAGCAAAGCAAGCTAAAAAACAACATAAGCTTAGCTCTAATTGAGAAGAGCAAATAAACCAAGCAACAAGTTCAACGAAAATTTTAGCTGCAAACCAATTCAAGTGTAAAAAGTGCCGAAAAGGTTTGGGCAAAACTTCAGCAAGTTAAATTATGGAATGGTACCAGTGTGAAAATTCAAATTGCAAGGTTTGGCGATGGTGCTGAGTTTTATTGCACCAAAAAGTGCCGCACAAGTGAAAATTCAACTCAACCTTTAGTACCTCTAAACGGCTCAACATCATCGTAAAAATAAAAAAGTTTATCTTATTTGATTGATTTTTTTAGTTGTTATTATTGGTTGTTTTTTTAATTGTTATTATTGATTGCTTTTTGTTTTTTTAATAAAGTGTTGTTTTAATTACACTTATATTTGCATATTTCATTCTGCCCGAATACCAGTGTAAAATGGAATAAATTTTTTTTAATCAAATAAAGTTTCATAAAAGACTTTACAAAAAAAATTGTTAGATTTTTATACATTTAAATACAGCTCAATACTCTCTACAACTTTAAAAAAAAGGAAAAATCTTTTTTCTGTAAAAAATTAATAATTAAAATCCCTAACTATTCCATTTGACCCCATATTACTCTCTCTCTCTCTCTCTCTCTCTCTGTATATATATATATATATATATATATATATATATATATATATATATATATATATATATATATATATATACATACATACATACATATACATATACAGAGAGAGAGAGAGAGAGAGAGAGAGAGAGTGTAAAATAAGGTCAAATGTAAATGTGTTTCATCAACAAAGACATGCAACAAAAGAATTTTTGTTTAACAAAAATTCTTGGTTTGCATGTGTAATTATTTGAAATTTTTCATGTAGACATAGTATGCGTTTTTTGGAAATATTGTTGTATGCAGGCGCATTTAGGGATGGACCAATTCTGTATAAAATCATCAATATTTTTATTTATTAGTTCCCATATATATTTTGACAGCATGGCATCTTTTGAATATTTTTTTTTTTAAAAGATTGCTTATGATTGGCCAAAGATTTTTTCCATTCACCCTCTGTTATGCCAATATATTGTTTATCGGGTATATTCTTAGTAGAAACAACACATTTATATACCACATTTTTTGATAAACAAATTCCACTTATTGGACAATTTTTTTTTTGTTTACAATAACAATTTTTTGTAGTTTTTTCATTTAGGATTTCTTTTTTATTTAACAAAGCATTATTGTGACTTTTTATTAAAAACTATATTATTAAACTAGATTATTAAAAAGTTAAGCATATGACATTGGCATTTGGCTTGTGGAATGTGAAAAACCTGCTAATAGTAGAGGCTAAGAAATTAGAATTTAACAAATTATGAAAATATTAAAAAAATCTATATATATTTAAGGAGAAGGTTATAAAACTGTTATATTAAGCCCTAGATCATTAATAAATTGAAATAAAAAATAAAAGATAGAAAACAAATATCAAGTAATGCAAGAACTAAACCAGAGACAAGTAGACAACAAAAAAGCATCTACCTATGCCATAACTGGATACAAAATTCAAAGTATTTCAAATACTTTGATTTTTGTAAATTCAAAAATAAAAGTTATTATACATTTCTTCTTTCTTTTTTTGTTAGTAATTATTAATTCAACATTTTTTTATTTTTTTGTTGTTCCTTTTCATTTTCTTTTTTTCTTTTATTTTTTGTATGCTTTCTTTTTTTATTTCTTTTTTCCATAATAATTTTTCAAGAACACTTTTATTACTTTTTTTCATAATTTTTTAAGAACACTTTTATTTCTTTTTTCCATAATTTTTCAAGAACACTTTTATTTCTTTTTTCCATAATACTCTTTTAAGAGAAATTTTGCAAAGGATTGTGATAAGAAAAAAGTATTTTTTTATTTTTATTTTTCATTCTTAACATTTTTATATTTTAAAGTATTTTTTATACTATTCATTAATAATATTTTTATGTTTTTTTTTGTTCTTTGTAATATTGCTCTATTTTTGTATCATTAAATTTTTTTTAGATTTAGAAGAATATGAAAAGAAAGGAAATGAATTAAAGCAAATATTATTAAAAGATCCACATTCTGGTTTTATTTTCTTTATTATCTTTTTTTATTGAATTTTTTTGAACTGTAAAACAGAAATTTCATGATTCTAATATTTCCATCTATAAATAAAAAAATTCAAATAGGTTTGCAAGTTGTTAAGTTTTTCATTTGTTACAAAGAACATTTCATAATTTAAATTTTATGCACTAATTTCTTTCATTTGAGTTACTAAATTTTATAAATATAAGCAATAGAGTCTTTGTGTTCTATAATAAAAGGCAAACAAAAAAATGTGGAAAAAAATGTTGCCTCATTTGTTTATTATAGAGTACAACTTATTATTTTTTTTACAGAACACAACTTGGTTAGTGTGTTTACACTGTTCACAACTTGGTTAATGTGTTCACATTAGTGTTACCATTTAAAAAAAAAATCTTAAGAAATTTTTTGAATTGAAGAATTTAATAGTCTGTCACACTTTGATCATATCTTTTGAATTAAGAATCAATTGATTTTATCAATAATGTCCAACACCAGCAGATTAACATATGTTTTGGTTTGTTTTAAAATCTATTTTTTAAGAACACGCTCTTCACAAATCAAAATCATCAGAAATATAAATTTAGCTTATTGTTATTAAAAAAGTCAAATGTAAAATTTTGAGTTTTTTGTTTATCTGAAAACATTCAATGTATTGTAATGTACCAATGTATTTTAACGGTATGTAAATAATGATTAAAAGTTATTAACACCTAAAGGTATGTATGAAACAATTAAAAATTATTAACACCAGAAGGTATGTAAGAAACAATTAAAAATTATTAACACCTGAAGGTATGTAAGAAACAATTAAAAATTATTAACACTTAAATGATGTAAGAAACAATTAAAAATTATCAACACCTGAAGGTATGTAAGAAACAATTAAAAATTATCATCACCTAAAGGTATGTAAGAAAAAAATTAAAAATTATTAAGTATTTTCAAAAAAACATTTTGATTGAAATATGAAATTTTGTAAAAAATCTTAAAAAACCCTCAACTTAAATAGTTATCAATATGGTTATGTGGTTCTTAACAATCACATTGACCTAAAATTTTATTGTTATGTATTATTGACCCAAAATTGTGTTATGATATATTAACCTAAAATTTTATAATTATGTACTGGCCTAAAATTTTAAGGAGTTATATATATGTTTACGAGGGATCACTGGTTGTCATGGATTCTGTGATTTAAAGTTTAAAAAAAAAGAATTAGTGCCATCAATCGAAAAAAAATAAACTGTACACCTAGTTGTTATAAGAGATTTAACTTTCTCACATTTTCATAATTTTTATTTGTTTCTCTACATTTTTATTATTAATAGATTATTATCTTTATGTTATTGTACATTTTATTTTTTGACAATAACAGGTACTATGTAATAAAATGGTTTAATTGTAACAATGAAAAAAACACTAGCCATAAAAACAGGTACTTAATTAGAAAGTACAGTACTGAATTATTCTAAAAAACAGGTAATTACTTAGAAAGTACAGTACTGAAGTAATTCTAGAAAAATCTTTTAGTTCTAAAATAATCTTATTAATAAATTTTTTTAAAAAGATTATAAATCTTTTAAAAGATTATAAATCTTTTAAAAGATTATAAATCTTTTAAAAGATTATAAATCTTTTAAAAGATTATAAATCTTTTAAAAAATTTATTTATAAGATTATTTTATTGTGTAGAGCGTTGGAAAATAAAACAGGACAAGATGGAAAACAGATATTCCAATGAATTAAAAGAGAAAATGAAAAAAAATGGCGGAGTCTTATCAACAGTTGATAAAGATCAATTTGAAAATGATTATGGAAGATTCAGGAACCGATCTTCTATCAATGCTTATGATCTTTTACAAATAATTAACAAAGGTATGAAAAAAAAATTTTTACATTTTTATTTTTTTCAATTTATTTTAAGTAGTTTTTATTTCACTATTTAATACTAATAGTTTTCATTTTTCCATGTTTAACTATTTATTAATAATTTTAATTATTATGATTAAATTTAATGATAAAAAAAAAATTTAAATTTAGTTTAAGTTAACAATAAATTTTATTGAAAAATTAATTAATCAATTTGATCAACATCAATTAGTGGATTTTAGAAACCTTTTTTTTCCACAAAAACATTTTTTTCATAGTTCAAATAACTGTAAATGCCCTATTTTACATTTATTGCAAAAACTTTAAATATAAATAAACTATTAATATAAAAATTATTTGAATATTATGAAAAGTCTTTTAGTAGATTAAAAATCTTTTGCTAGGAACTTCTAACACCTCAGATAAAAAAGCAATTTTAATATCTTTTTATAAAAAAAAAAGATTAAAATGGCTTAAGTAAAATGGAAAAAAGTAATTTGAAGCAATTAAAGTTATTTTCAAATTAATAATTAAAAATTATATAAGATTTTGGATTCATAAGTTGATAATGTCTCATAAACAGAGTATTCAAAGATGAGGAGATTCAGTTATTTGGAATTTTTTTGCCTTTTAATAGTAAAAAAAGAATCCATAAGTTTTTTAATTTTACACTTAAGATGGTTAATAACTGCAATAGAGATTTATGATTGTGTTTAAAGTTTAAAAACCCAACAGAGGAACATCCAAGCAGTAGAGTGATGTGTGAAGCAAGTAACAGAAGCTTTACAAAAAATTTCTAGCCTTAAATTATAGATGGCATTTTAAAAACTACATTTTATTCCAAATCTGCAATGGTTTTTCGAACTAATCATATTTCAGGAAGTAACAAAATGTAAAGGATTATATTTATTTTAGAACAGCAATAAATAAGTTTCTATTTACCTTTTGTATACTTTTTTCTATTTAAATAGTCCCTAAATAATTGCATTTAGTATAAAAATGATAGAAAGAAAATATTTATTCAAATATTTATTCAAATATTCAAATGCGATGTATAGCTCCAGATATAAAATATTATTAATTCCTTAAATATATCCATATCTCCAAGCTATATATATATATATATATATATATATATATATATATATATATATATATATATATATATATATATATATATATAACAAATATATATATATATTTGTTATTCACCTCCTCAAGGCAAAGAAGGCCACTACAGATGAGGAGGCTACTTAATAGTGGTTATAACCCTATCTCAACTCTTTAACTCCAAAACACGAACCTTGACGAACAAGGCCGCTCTGCAGAGAAACATTATATAAATATATATATATATATATATATATATATATATATATATATATATATATATATATATATATATATATATATATATATATATATATATATATATTTGTTATTCACCTCCTCAAGGCCAAGAAGGCCACTACAGACGAGGAGGCTACTTAATAGTGGTTATAACCCTCTCTCAACTCTATAACTCCAAAACACGAACCTTGACGAACAAGGCCGCTCTGCAGAGAAACATTATATAAATATATATATATATATATATATATATATATATATATATATATATATATATATATATATATATATATATATATATATATATTTGTTATTCACCTCCTCAAGGCCAAGAAGGCCACTACAGACGAGGAGGCTACTTAATAGTGGTTATAACCCTCTCTCAACTCTATAACTCCAAAACACGAACCTTGACGAACAAGGCCGCTCTGCAGAGAAACATTATATAAATATATATATATATATATATATATATATATATATATATATATATATATATATATATATATATGTATATATATATATATATATATATATATATATATATATATATATTTGTTATTCACCTCCTCAAGGCCAAGAAGGCCACTACAGGCGAGGAGGCTACTTAATAGTGGTTATAACCCTCTCTCAACTCTATAACTCCAAAACACGAACCTTGACGAACAAGGCTGCTCTGCAGAGAAACAATATATAAATATATATATATATATATATATATATATATATATATATATATATATATATATATATATATATATATATATATATACATATATATATATATATATATATATATATATATATATATATACATGTCTAGAATTTTAATTTGAGTTTGTTTATTCACAAATTAAATTTTTATCAACAAAGTAACAAAAAAAGTTGTAAAACATTCTTACTATGATTTTAGTTGCATAAACTGAATTATTATTATTTTTTTATTTTACTTTATGTTAATTCACCTCCCCAAGACTACTACAGTCAAGGAGACTACTTTAATTGTAGTTACAACCCTCTCCTAATTCTATAACTCCAAACAAGTTGACAAATTTTACTTTGGAAAAAAAAGAAAGGGCATTTTTTAATTTATTATTGGTCAGATAATTTATATTTTTTCAAAAATTTATAACAATCATGTGCAAAAATGTTTAGTTAAAGCACTTTTTTGTTATGAATTTTTGTTTTATGATTTTTAGGTAAATTAACTTGTTGTAAATTTTAGATAAATTAACTTTGTGAAACAAATTAAACTTGTGTTAATTTACCTAAAGTTCTTTTTAATGGTTTTTAAATACTTTTATTAGCAATTTTGTAAATACTTTTAATGCTAAAATTAACAAGAAGAAAATTGTTTTTCATCACAGTGTTCTTATTCACAAAGTATTCCTTTGGATTACCATCCAAAATTTATGAGCTTTCCCTTATCCACACTTAAAATAGGAGTTTTATAGAGTTTTCCTTGTACTAGGTAAGTTGTGTTAACCATGCCTAAAAGGTTTTTGTTAATTATTATTTAAAGACATATTGTAAAAAACATGTTTTGTATCTTAAGTTACATTTAAGTAAAGTTATAATAAAATGAGTTATGAGTGTAGACTAATGGTATTATGCTCAGCTTGCAATCAAAAGGCTCATGGTTCAATCCACCATAAGCCTCTGCAAATAATGCACTCAGTCTGTTTCTCTACTCAGCAGTTTTATATAACAATTGATTGCGCAGCAGCTTCATTTGACATTTGTGTTTTAGAGTTTAGGGTTGAAAAAAAGTTGCAAATAAAAAAATAAAAAATTAAGTAACCTTCTCAATTGTAGTTCTCTGGAGCATTAGGGAGGTGAATGAAAAATAATAATAGTAGAAAGCCATTTGTGACAATATAATTGTAACAATATAATTTGTGATTTGATTGAGTGTAAAATATAATAAGTTTTATTGTATAGTAATACTATACAATAGTATAGTATTATTGTTGTTATTGTTGTTTTTGTTAACGTTGTTCTTGTTGTTATATATATTATTACTCATATAGCATTTGATGTACCTAACCTTAAAGATGGCGATATGCTCAATACTGAAGACTTTGATAATAAAGAATTTAAAAAAAAAAAAGTAAAAGGTATTAATATTTTTCTAACTTCTGTTGTTTGACAAGTGAAAGATTAGTGAATTATAGTTATATGTTTATTTAAGTTACATAAAACAGGTGAATACCTGTTTTATGTAACTTAAATTATATGCAATATTAGGCGCAATATACAAGCTAACACTTTAGCTTATATAATGATTGTTGCTGGGTTCTTTTTAAATCTTTGGTATTAGAGACATTGGCATTATCTGGTAGAGCGTTTTAGTTCTTTGCAACCCAGTTGTTGAAAAAGTTAAATTGAACCAGGCAGTTACAGGGCTTATAAAAAAAAATTTCCTAGTGTGTTCTTTTGTGCTTTTGTGTTTTTGAAAGCAATCTCTAGCTCTGCAAGTTAGTGGGTAAAATGTTTGTAAAATGTTTTTGTTGTTCTTTGTTGATAAATGCCATTTATTGTTGATAGTATTTTCTAACACACTGCTAGACACTTCTGGTTGATGAAAATGATTTATTGAATTTTTATTGTTTGTAATTGATCTTTTTTTTTTTTCAATTTTTTTTCTTATTTTTCCTAATTTAAGAATAAATCATTTGTTTAATTTTTTTTTATTATTGTTTTTATTAACTACTAACTGAATAAAATTATAATATTACATAAATAATAATGTTAAATAAATAAAATAATAATGTTAAATAAAAGGATTTTAATAAACTAAATAATGTTAATTAAAATAATATTAATAAATTAAATAGTAATGTTAAATAAATAAAATAATCTAAATATTATTACTAAAGTTAATGTTTAACGTCTTTTAAGTAATTTCCAGGTATTTTTGAACATGTTTCTAATAATTAGTAATTTAATTGACTAAAAGAGAATCTTCTAGTGTGTAATTACTATATATGTCTAATTTATTGTGCTTAGTTTTTTTAAATGTGCTTAGTTACTTTTTAATGCGCTTATTGACAGTTATTAATTAACTGACATTTTAAACTTTTGATTTAATATTGCAAAAATCAGGTAATATATTTAATTATTTAAATTATTTTGTTTAAATTGTCTTTTTTTCTGCTCCAACTTTTGATTTTATATAATATTTTATATTATTTAAGTTAGCTTGATACATTTTAATTAAATTTATTTAAAACATTGAATATTATATCTTATATAAAGGGCTACATGCCTATATAGTAGCTATCTTGCAGACCACGGGATATGTTATAGCTATCTAGTACTTATATAGCAGGTAATGTAGTAGAATGCTGTATAACAGCTTTGTATTGGGTGGTAGGCCCAGCGCTAGACATTTTGAAAGTGTGTGAAAAAAATATTTTGGGGCCTTAATAAGATAAATTTTAAATTTTGCATTGTGTTTTAATAAAATTCTATAGAAATAATTCATCTTGAAAAATGTACTTTTCAAAAAACAATGTTTAAAAACGATTGGTTAGAGGAAAAATGCATTTGCATGGTCAGAGCCACTGAGAGCTTTCATAACACCCAGAAAATAGTAGCAATTAGACATCTCTATAAGCGTGCATAGTTTTAAAATAAAAGCATGTAGTTAACTTTAGTTTACTTAAATATCGTTGCATTAAAAAATTTGAATAAGAATGCATATAGATTAGAAAATAGATAGACAATTTGAGTATATTTGTTTGAGAAAGCTTTAAGGGTTTCCAGAAGTGAAAAACAAAGAATACATCAAACTTTTCTACAATCCCAATTTTAAATTTAATTTTAATTGACTTTGTTGAATGGAATAATGAAGCTCAACGTTAAGGATAATCACTACAAGCTTATGCTCGGAGAATTCATGGAAAAAAACTGCATATTCAGGTTCATCTGCTCATTATGGGTTGATGTCTAGTTGAAGGTAAAGCAACAGCTTTAGAGCAACAGTAATCTCCTGTGGTTGTTTTACAATTAGTTTTATAGCGACAATCTCCGCTTAATGTCTGGTGTCCAAACACTTGTAAAGCAAGATCTTCCATTTGCAGGACTGCAGCTTAAGATTAAAATTAAATTTTATTTAACTTATACATAAAAGTTTAATATTGATGATGAAATGCGACACCAGGCTTTCATTTGCTGGCGATTGACATTGCTGCAGCCAAAGTAGCATTATAAAATACTTCAAAAAGAGTTTATGTGGGTACAACAATTACATCATGCACTAATTTATTCCAATGGTTTGCAACATGGTTTTTAAAAAAGTGCTGACGTTCTGGTTAACCTTGATTAGTTAGGGTTGTAGACAGGTCTATTTTAATTATATGCTGAGTTCAGTAAGAAAGTTATGTTTATAATAAAAACTATAACTTGTTATAGTTTTTATTATAAATTAATGCATGCCTATTCTTACATAAAATAAGTATATTAATTTTTATATAATTATTCTTATAAATTTATATATTATTATATTCTCAAGAAAAAAAGTAAGTATTCAATGAAAATTTGGTACCTTGGAAACCTTGGCGCCTAGGTGAAATCACCCTTGTACCTGCCTTCTGCCAAGCCTATTGGGGAGGGGGGGGGGGGTTAGCCCATGGTTTATGTAGTATCTATGTAATCATTCCTGATTGTTTTTCATGGATTGACCAGCTAGTAGTATGAAAACATTTATATATAGTTGTTTGAAACCAGCAATAAGAGTGTTAAATCTGCTACAGCCACATGGACTGAAAATTCATTATACCCAAACATGCCTTAAAAATAATTTACAGTTTTCCATTATATGTTAGCAACAACAATTCCATTTGGTAGGAAAGTCATTCTTTTTAGTGGTGACTTTCTTTAGTGGTGTCAAAAAAGAAATTTTTTTAAAGGGTGTATTGAAACACCGCATCAGTGCATTTTTAGAAAAAACAGCTTAATTTTTGATGAGATATTTGGAGAATGAGATGATTATGCTAAACAAGTTATTTTAATATTCACTAATGTCAATCAATGAGTTTAAATGCTGGTACTGATTAAATTTAGATTGACAACCCTAATAACTTTCCTGTTCAGTTTTTGAACAACTTATTCCTTCAGGTATGCCTCTTCATTATTTAAATTTTAAAGTTGGTTGTTTAATTATGTTATTTAGAAGTTTATCAAAACTTGGCTATACAATGGTACTCAAATGAAAGTTTGTGCTCTTCAAAATAATTTTATTGATGTTGAGGTTTTAACAATTGTTTTTGATGATAAACGAATAACTGTTTATCGAGTTCAGTTGGCTCTGACTTTTAAAAAGGTATAATGTTATAATCCAAAACCAGTTGTGTAGAGCTAGAACTAGGCTATAAAACTAGCCTAGTTCTAGCTCTAACTTTGAATAAGATTTTATAGTTGGCTTTATATTAAAGATTGATCCTATTGCAAAAATGATATTATAATAAAGTCATTTTTGTCAATTTTATTATTTTAATGTTTAATCATCCTTCCTATCCGTAAAAGTTTTATAAACATTTTAAGTTATTTTAATATGGTTTTCTTTACAATAAGCTGTGCTTGGTTCCCCCATCCTGTAGATACCGGTTGTTATAACTGATTTTGAAAAATACCTTCATAGCAGAAATTGTGATGCCTTTAACATTGATTGTTTACTAAGATGACAGTTTTATTTGTATTTTTTTTTTTTAATTTGTTACAAAAATCCATATATTGTATTTTGTAAATTTAACTTTATATCATTTATATATTTTAAATAAATTTGTTTCAAAGATATATGAATTTAAGATTTTCTGTTTTTATGGATTCTTTAAAAAGTTTTCGATTGGCACAAGTTTAAAAATATACTTTTTAAGGTATATAAATTTTTTACAAAAAAAGAAGAAAGATTCAAATAAGCTAATTAGCTCAAGCAAAATTAAGAGAAGTGTGAGACAATTTTATAGATATTTACACTAATTATTTTCCACATTTTGAACATATGGCCTGGATATCACTAACAGTTTTTTTTTTTGTTTTTTTTTTGTAAATAAATTTTTCCACCATGTCAAATAAAAAAAGATGGTAAAATTAATACAACTTTTAATATATTCACTTTGTTATGCTATGTGCATATAACACTCAAGCAAGAAAAAATAAAAATCTCTAATGAGGTTAAGATCATTACTCTCTACTGTTTTCTGTATTGAAAACAAATAAAAATTAAATGGTGTGCATTAGATCTTTCATGACTCGTGTTACAGGACATTCAGGCAGAGTCACTTAAGGGTCAGCCTACAGGCGAGGCAGGTCCGGACATTCTAGTGTTAATAAGTAATTTATTAAGTAACTTATTAATTTATCAAGTTGAATTGGTTTAAATTTCCTACTTAAAATTTTGTTTTTTAATTGTTTAATATTTAATATAAAGAGAACTGTTAGATTATTTATAACAAAAAATTCTTTAACTTTTTTTAAAAAACTATTCATTATAGTTTTAACAACATAGTTAGCATAAGCCCTCATATGTTACTATTAGTTTTGTGATAAAAGTGTTTACAATGATCATAAATTAACTAAATGAGCAATCGGTCAATATACCATTTAATCATCTCAGTTTTGTTTTCAAATTCTACTTTTACATTAGGTCCTTTTTTTTGTCTTCTAACACTCAGTGAAGTTTGGAGTATTTTTGTGACATGTTGTATTTGGTCATTTTGTACTAGATCATTTTAAAAAAAATTGATAAAATTTGCAATTTGTTGGTGGGTTTGGTTTAAATTAGCATTTTCCCCACTGCAGTATAGTGATATGGGACTGTTACCATTAAAAATGCCCTTAATTTCATTCATTTTATGAATTTCTGAATATAAAGGTTTTATTTGGTATATATTATCCATCCACTCTGTATCCAAGCCCAATGACCAGAACTTGTGTTTTGTGTAAAACACAAGTTTTGGTCATTGGGGTTTTGTATGCAGGTAATCTGATTTTTATGATAACCCTAAGCACAAAAAATCATGGGTTCAGGCAAATCGTCCACATCAACAGCAAAACTAAGTTATAGGAGTAGGTGATGTTATGCATTTAATGAGACCAGACAGGAGTGGCGAGGAGTGGTGTAATATAAGCAGCTAAAGATAAGTAAGATAAAGGTAGGTGATGATTTATTAGTAATTATTACAAGATAAGTGGTGTAGTGTATATGAGCAGCTAAAGATGAGCTGTTATTGCTAAATGTTACCAGCATTGATAGACTTAAACCATGCATTGAACAAAAAATGTTTGATTCTAACCAAAAAACCATTTAAAGTGGTTTTGCTGCATGACAATGTAGCAAACCACTAACAATGCTATTATGCATTTTTTATTTAGTTTGCAACATGTTGCAAACTAAATAAAAAATAAGTTGGAATATTAGAAAATCGGAAATTTTACCTCATGCTCATTACCTGGTGCTCCATCAGATTAAAAAGTAAATGTATATATTTTAAAGTATTTAATTCTAAATTAGCAAATAAAAATTTTTTTTTATCCATTTCTCCTTAAAAATTAGTCCGCAATTCTATCCATTCTCTTTAGAAATTAATCTGGCTGTGGTTAATAGTTAGAAAAGATTATTTGGTTGCTAATTTCATCACATACCAAAATTATCATTAAAAAAAATTCTGCTTAATATAGTTTAAATTATTGCTCAAATAAAAGTTATTTTTATTTTTATTTTTGCTTATTCAGCATTAAGTGCAAAAAAATCAATAAAAGACAACATTTGTTCAGTTTTGTTATGACATATCTTACAATACTAATAGATTGTCTTGATATAAACTAAAAATAGTTATTAACTTTAAACCTGTTTACAATATTTTACAAAGACTATTCACAATTGGATTTTGAAAGAAAGATTTCTGTTTTAAATTAGTTCAAAATTTAATTAAAAGCTAGTTGGATGTCCCTTGGTGATTATTGGGATCTTTTACTAATTTTTAATTCATATATTTTGACTTGATGTTTACACATGCTTTGCACTTCTTTGTTTTTTAACTTTTGCATTTTTCTTTGTATTTTGACTGCATTTTGACTTTCTACTTGTATTTGTAAAAAAAAAAGGAAAGACTCGAACAAAAAAAGATGCACAGAGGGATAGAACATACTTGTGGACATCACGAATTGTGCCATTTGTAATTGATTCTATTTTTGACTGTAAGTATTTAGTAATTGACAATTTTATTTCTTTGAAGTCTTTTATTTCATTCTTATTTTGTTCTTTTTTCATTTCTTTTACATTTTTTTATCATTATTATTATTAAAACGCCTTTTAATAATTGTATTTTTTTAAAGCAACTTCAGTAAATTTAATTATATCTGCTATGAAAGAGATTGAGTCAGTGAGTTGCATACGTTTCAAGCCATATTCTTCAGAGACAAATTATGTTAAAATTGTTGCTAAGGATGGGTATTATAAATATTTATTTGCTTGTTACAAATGTATTCATTATGCATTTTTATTTTTGTTGTATTTAAATTTGTTTTTTAACATTTTTTTCTTTTTGTGTATAAATAATTATCTTGTTATTTGTTTTAATTTTTTTTTTTTAGTGTTGAAGTTTGTAAATATATTTTTTATTGTTCCAATAAAATAAATGTTATGCACATTTAGATTCAGTGTAATACCATGTTGTGTCTATACCTTTTTTTTTCTCACACAATTTTTAATACTGTGTTGTGTCTATACTTTTTTTTCTTGCATAATTTTTAGTATATTGAATGATTTATGTAGAAGAATTTTTTCAAAGTAATTTTTTAAAAGCATAAATGATAAAGTATTTTTATTTTGAACCTCAACTTTATGACAAAATTGAGAAGAAATGCTGTCACTAAATGTTACTTAAATATCTCTAACACTAAGGGGGTGATTACATGAGTGAAAGTCAGCCTGGGTTAAAAGGGGGTGATTACATGAGTGAAAGTCAGCCCGGGTTGAAAAAATCTTCTTATTACATAACCGTTTTCATCCTTCAATTTCTTCAACCCGGCCTTCAGCCTTCTTCAATTTCTTCAACCCGGCCTTCAACCTGTTTTTTTGAGGTTGCTTCTATTATAGACACTGTTGTAAGTCCTAAACCTAACTGTCCAAATTATTGTTTTTTAACTAAACACAAAAAACTAGCAATTACCATATATTACTTAAAAGATGCTGGTTCTTTTTGGATGACAGCAAGTATTTTTGGCATTCATCAATGTACTGTTTCAAAACCTGTATAAGCTGTCTGCAATGCCATTAATAATATTGTTGGGCCTAAATATTTACATCTACCTAAAAACAATGAGGATATGACAAAATTAGTTTCTCAGTTTGAAGTAAAGTTTAGTATGATACAAACCTTTGGATGCATTGATGGCATTCGTGTCCAACTAAACCGTCCTTTAAAAAAATGCTCAAGACTATTTTTGTTATAAGCAATATTTTTTATTAAATGTACAAGCAGTATGCAATAATAAATGATACTTTATCAATGTTGAATGCAAATGGCTGGGATCTGTACATGATGCAAAGATGTTTACAAATTCTACTATCAATAAAAAATTAATTGAAGGGATATTACCACAAACATTGTACAGTTTAAATGGTTATCATTCAATTCCTAACTACTTGATTGGAGATCCAGCATACCTATTAACAAGTTTTTGCATAAAGGAATTTCAAAGTTGTTCGAATAACAAGGAAGTTATATTTAACAACATGTTACGCTCTGCAAGAAACCATATGGAATGTGTTATTTATACTTGTTTTGTTCTTCATAACTTTTGCGAATAAAACCTTAAATGAAGAAGAGGTAGAGCAACAAAATGAAAGTGATGCATTAAAATGTAGTGATGCATTGGAGAGACCAAACCACCCAGACAGTATTTACTCTGCTAATAACCCTGAAGGTGAATATATATGAAAAACAATTATAAAGTATATAATAAAATTAAAAATATTCTCATACATTATTTTCTCAAAAACACATGTTTACGTAGTTTTCCATGTTAATTAAACTAAAATAAAAAATCTATAAAGTGATGTCCTTTTCTGACAATCTCCCCCTTCTCCCCTTGTCCTTTTTTGTTCTTTTTAACTAGACCCACTCCCCCCTCCCTATTTGGATGGCGTCCTTTATGGATGGCGCCATAGGAGGAAAAATTGAGTAACTAAAAACACAAAAACTTATCTTTCAAAAGACTATTTTTAGGTAACTGTTACTAAAAACAAAAAAAACTAAAATTTACAAAAAGTTTTTTTTTTATTTAAGTTTAAAAAACAATTTTTGACAAATGTTTGCTAAAAAGTAAAACAAAAATATTAAAAAAAAAAGATAACTAAAACAAGCTAGAGTGTATTGATTATATCACAAGAAAAAAGCATATTGAGTACTACTTTTATGATACATACAAACATTTTACAGTTTTCATGGTTATTATTTAATTCCTAACTACTTGGTTGGAGATCCAGCATACTTATTAACAAGTTTTTGCATAATGGAATTTCAAAGTTTTTCAAATAATGAGGAAGTTATGTTTAACAACATGTTACGCTCTGCAAGAAATTAGGTACATTTGGCAGATTGGGAGATTTTTAAGGAAGATTGTCAATATAAAGAAACAGTTCCTGTTGTTATATATACTTTTTTTGTTCTTCATAACTTTTGCAAAAAAAATAAAACCTATGACTTTAATGAAGAAGTAGAGCAACAAATTGAAAGACATGGCAGTAATGCAAACCACCCAGACAGTATTTACTCTGTTAAAAACCCTGAAGGTGAATATATATACAAAAAATATATGCGAAAACAATAACAAAGGAGAAAAATTATTGAGTAACTAAAAACAAAAAAACTTATCTGTATTTTTAAAAATTTTTTAAAAACTCATCTAGTCTCATCTTGACACGCTGTGGAAGCACAAAATATTTATTAAACTTCTTATGTCTATTGACTTTAGAAACAAAATACTTATAAGAAAAACTTTTTAAAACAGCTTTTGAATACTACAATAATATTTGTTGTTGGTAACTTATTGACTTGATGCTTAATTTATGCATTACTTTTTAATTTATGCATTACTTTTTGATTTAGAAGGAAAACAATGTTTGTTATGTTTGCTTTCAGTGACAATTCAATAAAACCAAACATACAACACCAACTCAAAATAAAATGTTTTAAGTAGCTTGTTAGAATTAAAAAGTTTTAATAATTTTAAGTAATTTATTTTTTAAACTAATAATTTAGACTATTTTTTGGTAACTTTTACTAATAACAAAAAAACTAAATTTTACAACAATTGTTGACAAATGTTTACTAAAAAGTAAAACAAAAATATATACAAAAATAAATAACTAAAATAAGCTAGAGTGTATTGATTATATCACAAGAAAAAAGCATATTGAGTACTACTTTTTTGATACAGCTATATTTTTATTCATTTCTTTTCATTCCTTGCATCAATAATTCCATTGATTTAAAAAGTCCAAAATTTTTTTTTTCATTTCTTGCATTAATAACTCCATTGATTTAGAAAGTCCCTTGGAAACCTTTAAAATAGATTCTGATATGCGCTCCATTGATGCTGAGAATGTTTCATTTGAATGTCTTATGGCTTCTGCAATATCTCTTATAAATCGAACATCTTCTTTAGCTTCATTCAAAAAAATTTAATCTCTTTGTGATGTACTTAATTTTCTCTGCATGTGTCGTCACTTATTGTCAATAAATTTTGGAATAATTTTGTTGTTGTCATTTTTACGCTTCTTTTTTTTAGTTAATAAATCATTTTCAACAGATACATTATCTGGGATATGTAATGATAAAGAGAAATCAACTACATTATTGTTTTCAACACTAGATAAACAATAACATATTTACATTATCTGTATTATTAACTATGTTGCCTTCAGTGCTAACTGAAGCAATTTATACATCTTCTATATTTTTGTTATTATCAAATATTTCTTTATTAATATCATAAGTTGATTTCCCAAAAGATAATGGTTCTATAGAAGAAGATCCACCCTATATTTGAACAAGATGATCATAAAATTCAAGTACCATTTTACCACTTTCACTCTTTCAACCTGATGTAACAGTTAATAAAAAATTCTGACAAATTTCTTTGATTTTTTTTTTGAACTCTGGTATAACCTCTTTTAATTAAAGATATATCAATTTTATTTTGTTCAGATAACATGTTTTCATTTGGACTAACAGGCCCAAACCAACTTGGCTGGTGAAAGTAAATGTTAGCTAAAGCTTTCCTAATACTTTCATAGTGGTTTGGTTGTCAGCATTGAAATCCTTGTTATTATGTTCCATTTGAGATTTAAAATTTGACAAACTCTGTATTAAGTTTGAAATTTTGTCATCTTTATCCCAACGAAATCGAACTTCTGTCCATTCTTTATTATTTGTTTCCCTAATAAATTTTAATGCAGCCATTTTTAATTTTACAATAAATGAAATTTGCCAGGGCTGAAAATCCTGGCTCGGTTTCATAAAACAGGCTAAGATATTTATCCCGGGGGGAAATTCAATCCGTACATCATATAGTTGCAAATTTTAATTTGCAAAAACTAGAATAACCAGGCGGGGGGAAAATTCAGCCGGGTGAGTGGGCTGAATCATGGCCCGGGCTGAATTTGACTCATGTATTAAGCCCCTAAGTATCAATAATATTGTCTTTAGAATTATTTCACTAACATTAAATGTCACTAACATCAAATATCAAAAATTTTAAATGTCATCAATATCAAATGTCACTAACATCAAATGTCAATGAACGTCACTAACATCAAATGTCTCTAAGATTAAATGTCAATAATACTGAATGTCTTCTAACACTAAATAACTTAAATGTCTTTAATACTTTGATAAGTTTGGTATCTAAAAAATAATCACTAACATTTTATTTTTTATCAGATTCAAGAACTAAATTAAAAAAATGAAGGATTGTGTTTATTGTCTTTACAATAAATAAAAAATAAATTTCTTTTAATAGAGTAAAAAGTCAAAAAAACAGAAAATAATTAAAACATTTTATTGGGTTTTACAATAACTATAACCTCAAACGTTTTAAATGAAATTACATATCAACTAAATTAAATTACATATCAATATATCAACTTAATTAAATTACATATCAAAATATTAAAATACATATCAGTTAATGAAATTACATATCAACTTTAAAAAATATTATAATCTCATATCATGTTATTATCAACTTTAATCTCATGTTATCTCATTAACCTCCATTAAAATCTCAAAATACAAAGATACTTGAACATTTAAATTTGAAAAAACAAATTTTCAATGAAAGCATTAGACTGAAGAGTATTACCCTATAGATTATTTTTGTACAATTATAAATTGTATATATTTATGATAACATTCTTTGGATATAAATTTAATATAAACCTTATGATCATAAATCATTGAATCGTTATATTTAACCTGCTAAATTATAACTGATGTAATAGATGTGTTGAACTTATTAAATTTTTTATAAATTCTATTTCTAGTTGTTGGTCATCTGTTGGTCGTTTATTTTGGATAGATGGCTTTCAAGAACTTTCATTAGGTTCTGGATGTTTGTATAAGGTGTTAATTTTTTTCTGGGTGCTTGTATAAGGTGCTACTTTTGTATTATATATGGTTCTAGTTATTTAGTAGAATGGAATTGATTTCCAGATTTTTTTTTTTGACTATTAGTTCTTTTAATTAGGGAACTATAATTCATGAACTGCTGCATCTACTTGGATTTTTCCATGAACAAACAAGACCAGATCGAGATCAATATGTTGAAATATTTTGGGAAAATATTATAGAAGGTAAATTTAAAGTTATACAAAGTTACTTGATTTTAAAAATGATTAAGTTTTTTTTAAATCAGTTTTTATTTTAACCTTATCTTCAGTATGTGTTGCTATTTTGCTTTGTTTTTTTTTTTATCATTTGTATATATTTTTTTATTAACAAATTGCCAAAATATATAAACTGAAGTACTTAATTAAGATAATTTTAATTAAAATAATAATAGATAAGTTATGTTCTTAATTAAAATAATAAATTTATATAAATGTATACCACTAACTAACATAAATGTGTACCACTAACTATTCAAAGTTTTTCTTACCTTTCATTGATATGTAAAAGATATTAGTAAAATGAATAACAACTTATTTAATTTTTAATTTTTATTTAATTAAATATTTTTTTTGTATTCAAATATAGCAATTTGAAAGCTTTGTTACAGGGCAACTTTGAAAGATTACTTTTTTTATAGGACAAGAGAGTAACTTTGAAAAAAATAGTTATGATTATATGGATAGTCTCAATTCACCATATGATGTAACTTCAATTATGCATTATGGGAAGTTTTCATTTGCAAAGAATGGTAAGTTTTACTTTTAGTAACTATAATTCCTAGCTGTTCAGTCCTGTAAGGGATGACCAGACCAAAAAGATTTACTTATGGTAGGTTTTTTACTGAGCCCCTCCCCCTCTTTTATTAATTTTCAAGAAATGTAAAATGGTTTCACAAATTTTTTACTTTAAGAAAATTATTTCTTTCATTAAAAGTGTTAAATACTAGACTAATTGATTACAGAAACATGTTAATGACATAAATCTCTCCATCATAGATGACAAATGTCCTTTCATCAGCTTTTTTTCTTTCTTGAGTTAAAAAATGAAAAATATATGTTTTCATATGAAAATCAATCACATAGACAACATATTACTTCCTTTTAAAAAAACATTACAATGCTAACTCATAGTTACAACAATTAATTATTTGTATTACCTAACTTTTTTACAATTTATCTGGCACATGTAAACTTTTATTAATGTAAATAAAGTCAACATACATAAAATAAATTTTATCAAAAATGAAAATTTTGAATAAGATTATTTGGAATAGTTATTTTAATTTTTTTAAGATCTTTAATGATTTTTATACTTTATATATTTAGCCGAAAAGTTCACCATTATAAGTAACAGTAATCCAGATATAGAACTCGGATCAAGGAATAATTTATCATCTTCAGATATCTCACAACTGAATACTTTGTATGATTGTTCAAGTATGTTTTAGTTATATTTCTTATTTTTTTAGCAAAACAATTTTTTTTAGCAAAAAAAACTCTAAAAATTAAAAATTTATTTGAGAATAAAATATTAGGTTATTTTTACTTTAGTTAAATTTTCCTTCCTTGTTAGAAAACTCCAAGAATGAAAAAATAAAATAATAGCTTATTTTTACATAAGTTAAATTTCCACAAAAATTAAAAAAAAAAAATCTTTTGTTAATTTGTTTTCACAAAATTAAATTTAATTTCTTATGGTACCAGTTTTATAATAAGGTTTAATTAAATACATCTTTAGGATTAACTGTATAAATTTTCTTATTTTATAAGGATAATATAACTTCTTCTTTACAAGGATAATTTAACTTCTTTTTAACAAGGGTAATATAACTTTTGATAAATGCTTATTTAACTTTGAATAAGGTTAACTTTGAATAAGCCTTGAATAACTTTAATGTAGTCATAGCAACAGTGGTGAGAGCTTTAGAACCAAAAGATCTAGGGTTTGAAGCAAGCTCTGGGATTATTTTGGGTCATCGCTAACAAGGGATGCCTGAACTTCCAAGTTAAATGCTCTTCTGCAGTGCTTTGTGACAAAACTGTTAGGTTTTCTTGGGGCACCTAAAACATGTTTATGTTTTCTAAGGTTAACTTTAGATATATTTTTTCTATCAAAGAAGTTTAAATTTTTTGGTTTAAAAAAAAAATTTAACTAATTTTTATTTCATTTAATAAATGTTATGAAATTTTCTCTGGTTATTTTTCTTTCTAATATAATTACAATGTTAATTTATTTGTTGCTGTTATAGTTGACTATTATTTAAAGTGACATATTTCAAGTAACAATCAATTTTGAAAAAAAAATTTTTTTTTTGGTGCCTCAAAAAGTGTTAATGGTCTTAGAGAAAAAAACAAAAAACAAATAAAACAAATAAAAATTGAATGAAAAAAAAAAAGAATAAGATTCTGCTTATGTCTTTGTACAAATTTTTAAAAAAAGTCTTTCATTTTCCATATTAAAATTTTTTTAAAAAAATCATCCATTTTCGATTGCTTTTTTCTTTCTTAAGAATGTTTATCAAACATCTTTGATACAAGGTTTAGTGATTATTGGGTTTTGAAACCATTATTGATTTCATTGTTGTCAAAAAGATATTCAAGTACCTCTATTGCATGTGCAATCTGATAATTTTAGCTTTTCAGGAAGCAAATCATTTGACACTTTATCTATCTCCTTTTCTACCTCAGCACAACTGTTAATTAAAATGGTATCCATGGTTTCACAATATGTGATAGCAATTGTTTCACTTGTACATATCTCAAAATCTATATTTAGGTAATTGTCAACAGCTGATTCTTCATCTAATAAACCACATGATCTTAGCTCATTGAAATTCTCTTCAAGCAATTTGAAAGGATCAGCTTCACCATTCATATTTGCAATCTGTATTTCCTGCAAGATCCCTGCCTTTCTGACTGTGTATGTCAATAATATTAAATGTCACCAATATCAAATGTCACCAATATCTTATGACATATTAGTCATAGGAAACTGTATTGACAAACAGTGTTTGTCAATACAGTTTCCTATGACTAATATGCTCATAGCTTCAAGTATATTGATCTTTGGGACATTTTGCCAGCATCAATGTGGGTTGTTTTACCACCATTGATATATTTGACCTGACATCTCACAACATATAAAAAGCCTTTGATGCTCTTATGAATTCTTGGTCCATTGGTTGAGTTTTGGAGATTGTGTTGGGTGATAAAAATATAAATTCAATTGCTATGAGGTTGTCAAGATTAAGATGAGCTGTGCAGTTATCTATGATTAGAGCAACTTTCCTAACCCCAGCATTGAAATTTGTGTTAAGACTTCTTACATAATCAGTAAAAGATTTTAGAGTCTTAATGATTATGTCTTCTTTATATTTAATCCAGTAAGTTTTGAGGAACACTAAACCTTTCAGCTATATTCTTTTTACTTTGACCTTTTTCCAAGTCTTTAAAAGCAAGATATTTATCCTTGATTGTCAATACTGCCTTATTTCGTGTAGACGCCATGTTGAAATTTTAACTACACTACAATTAATGTAAAAGTATTATTTCAAAATGCAATTCAGTGGTATCTTGAGCCAATGAAAACTTGATTGAAACTGATTAGGATGTTTGTAAAGGGGAGCAAAAAGTTACTTTGAACAAATGACACTTAAAATACCTCCATGTTCGAATAACTGATGGATATTTGCATGAGTTTGTTAAGGAAAGTTAATAGAAAATAAAAATTGCTTTGAATAAGCAGGAAATTCAAATAAGTGCCAGTTCAAACAATTGAAAGTTTACTGTATTAGTATCATATATGTTATTTAATATTATAAATGTTATTTTATATTAATAATATTGTTTAATATTATAAATATTATTCAATATTATAAATCTTTAAAACTTTAGTTTCCTTGCTTTCAAGCAAGAAAATGAAGCCTTTGATTTAAAGTAAAAGTGAGAATATCACTTATACCTTGAATGGCGGGTCAAACAATCATATTGTTTATATCATATGTTGTGGCTAAACAATTATTAATAAGTAAATAATGAAGCAATCAAAAGTTTTATTATATTGTTAAAGAAATGAATGCTGGATCTTCTTGACTCAATGCATGGGTTTTGTTTATGTTTCTGTTTTTATGACTAAGCAACTTATTTTATTATTTCCTAATGAGGGTACAGTTCAAAAACTCAGTTTTATGGTTCTGAGGCCGGCTGGTAGTCAGGTTTCACAAACTCTGTGGTAGATCTCAGAGAGGCTGATTCCATCAACAGCTGAAAAATATCAAAGTACTAACAGTGCCATGTAGCGCATGGATGGTGACCCTGTTTGAACTTTTGGTGTGGATTGCCAAGGCCACATTGGAGCCCTTTGTTACGGCTTAGGGTTTATTAATAGTAATGAGGCAATTGCTTGGGCTATTAAACAGTGTACTGAGTACTATCTATGCTTTGAGTCAAGTTCTTTTACAAATTTAAAAATGAATAAAGTAACAAAAACTATAAAACACCAAAAACCGTTGCCATCACCAAGTTTTCTAAACCTATCATTCACTAATATTCATGGTCTTCAAAGTAACTTTTCTTCTGTTGAGTCTTATCTCTTGCAAAGTTCACCAGACCTACTTGCTCTTTGTGAGACTAATTTGAGTTCAGCTGTCTTATCTTGTGATCTTAGTGTTGATGGTTATCTTCCTTTAATTCTTAAAGACTCCAATCTAGTCACATGCTTGGGCTGAGCATTTACATTCCTAAGAATTCACCTATTTGTCGGGACACAAGGTTTGAATCCACACACTAATCTTTTATGTGTTTTCGTTTAGCATCACTTCACTCTATCACTTTTCTCTTTGTTCTATATTGCTGTCCTTCATCTCAAGACTGCATTCTTCTTAATGTTATTTCTGATAATTATATACTATGTAATAAAGTATAATTATTAAGATGATTATAATTTTTTATAAATTGTCAATAAACATAAAAATAGAAAGTTGTTTTTTTATTTTTTTATAGACTCTGGCACTGGTTGGAGTAATTGGTCAGATTATGGACCTTGTGATTCTGATTGCCAAAAAAAGCGCTCAAGATTTTGTATGAATCCAATTGATTCTTCTGCATGCCCCAATCCTGTTGTAGATACTTACAGTTTTTATGGTAGTGATGAAGACACAGCATTATGTTCTTACACTGAATGTAATGGTAAAAACATCTTGTTTTGTTTAAATAAAATTCTTTACTTTCAAATTTCTGATTTTCCATTTTCACTTTATTAAATTTACTACTAATTTATTATTAATTATCTTATTTCTCTATAGTTAATAAGAATTTAAAAAAAAAGATAAAAGTTCTCATCTATCAGTAGAATGTTTTCATGTATGTATGTGTTTTTTTCTCTTAACAGTAGAATGTTTTCATGTATGTATGTGTTTTTTTCTCTTAACAGTAGAATGTTTTCATGTATGTATGTGTTTTTTTCTCTTAACAGTAGAATGTTTTCATGTATGTATGTGTTTTTTTCTCTTAACAGTAGAATGTTTTCATGTATGTATGTGTTTTTTTCTCTTAACAGTAGAATGTTTTCATGTATGTATGTGTTTTTTTCTCTTAACAGTAGAATGTTTTCATGTATGTATGTGTTTTTTTCTCTTAACAGTAGAATGTTTTCATGTATGTATGTGTTTTTTTCTCTTAACAGTAGAATGTTTTCATGTATGTATGTGTTTTTTTCTCTTAACAGTAGAATGTTTTCATGTATGTATGTGTTTTTTTCTCTTAACAGTAGAGTTCATATTTTTTTTATCAGCGGAATTTTTTTTTTTTTTTTTTTTTCTTATTAGTTGAATTCATCTTTTTTTTTTATTTTTTACAATGACTAAAAGAAATCTTGATAGTTCAAAAATTAAAAAAAAAAGTTTTAAATATGCAAGGGGGGATGAAGGTGTATATATGCAAGGGCAGCGAAAAGTGTATATATGCAAGTGTGGGGCATACTTTTTAAAGTTTTGAAATAGGGTAAATTTTTATTATGTACTTAGATATTTTTTGTTATTATTAATAAAAACTAGCTGTCATGACTCGTACGATACGGATCGTGTTAAGTCTAATCTACATCCGACTATTTCTATACTTGTTCCTAATTTAGTCTTTATACTTTAATTTATTTTAGTAAACGGTAAAAAATAAATTAATTTAAAGTTCTGGTAGTTAGTAAAATGCGAAATTTTTTGCGAACCATAAATTTATTGCTTGTTAAATTATAATTAATTTAAAAGAAAACAGTCTAATTTAAATAAAATATATCAAATATTATATTTAAAAAATTGATGAGCAATTGTTTTAAATATCTGTTGTGGTCATTAAAATATCTTGGTTTGCTAAAAAGAATGCAGTTTGCATTTTACTGACCTAAAGTTCTTGCCTTCTAGTTAATTTTTAATTTACTTTAGAACTTTTTTTACTTATTACATTATTGCTTATTTACTTAATTATTTTCCACATAATAAAAGTGTCTTTAGCATATAAGACAATTGCATAACATTTCTTCAATTTCATATAAGACAATTGCATAATTGAGAATATCATTATAAACCAGCGGATTTTTATTGACTTGTTTACTCATAGATCATTGTTTTATCATTTGCTAAAAGATGACTAGAGTGTGAGTTTTTATTCCTCTTTTCCTGAGTTTCTAACTTTTACTGCTCCTACTAAATAGTCTTTACATTAATTTATGTTTTTTTACCTAAATGACATTATCTTCAATCTGTTTTTATTTTCACATTTCCCAGGTTTACGTTACTGGACGGCTCGGTTGGTCACTTTTTGCGATCATTGTGTCGCATAAACAAAAAAAATTTATTCTTTGTGGCTGGTGAGCCCCGACTTTTTCCAATGTACACCACAACGACAAAACGGACATTAGGCTATCCCGCTGGATGTGGTTACAGCGATCAATAACCTAATGACTACGCTGACACTCACGCACACATTCAGTTGGAAGTTCCACAATGCACGTCGGATCAGCGCTTGCTGACTATGTGCTCGGATCTGAAATCTCACTTCATAGCACATCGTTCCACACCAGCACGGGGCAGCAGCTCTTTTGGCTAAGAGTGATGGCTTGTGGCCTATGGTGACTAATGTGTTCATTCGATCAATTGAAATCCATTCTGTAGGTCTTATGTCAGGCTCTGATGTGCTAGCCTATAAGCGCAAGAAGTTAGTGTGTAGCTTTCTATTCACCCGATTTGAAAGTGAACGAAAACATAACGAAACCATACTAGACGACCAAACAGTACATACTAATGCACTACACCATCACACTTGTAGACATCAACAGCCTCTAAAATTAGTATATCAAATATTTGTTCTTTGTTACATATGATCTACACACAGAATGACTAGAGTGTTAGTTGGTTCTCCCCCTGCCCCCCGAGCATTTAACTTTGTTTTTCACCTTTACAAAAGTCTTATCACTCATTTAATATTTTCTTATGATTTTTATTTTTTCTTCAATGACACCATCTTCTAACTGTTTTTATTATTACATCTCTCAGGTCTACGAAACTGGACGGCTCCGTTGGTCACTTTTTGCAATCATTGTGTTGCATAAACAAAAAATTTTTAATTTACTTTAGAATTTTTTTTACTTATTACATTATTGCTTATTTACTTAATTATTTTCTACATAATAAAAGTGTCTTTAGCATATAAGACAATTGCGTAACATTTCTTCAGGTGTTTTTTGAAACTTAGGTTATGATAATAATATTTTAACTCTCTCATAAGGATTTATATAAAAATCCAATTCGGACATTGGCCTAAGAGATTTAGTTATTTCAAATAAGTTAGCTTTATCTGTTTGATATTTTTTATAAAAGCCTTTTTGTAAAAAAATTCTTAACAAATTCATACAATTAGGCTGTTTTTACTGCGGAATCAGGCAAATAAATTTTTAAACATGTTGTTTGCGCAATCGCTACTTAATGCAAATGGAAAAAGGTGATAAAAGTATAAATGAAAATAGCCAATATATCCATTCAA